GTGGTTCTGAAGCACAGACTCCCTGGTCTCTGCACACACCTGATTCTGGAAGACATGTTTACTGCCTGTGAGTAAGACGCTCTGTGCAGAAATAAACAAGGTGATAGTTTATGTTTCCTTTGGAACTATTCTCAAGTAGTTAAACATTAATAACATCTGTAATTGTCCTGGGAGTTTTAACTGAGGCAGATACTCTGGGCCCCCTGGAGTAATTGAAAGAAGGGCTATCGGGCCTAGATACACATCCATAATGAGAAAGGAGCCCCTTGGAGCTGGTCAGAGGATAGCAGATGGCAGCCCTATGTAAGAGGGAAGGACAGACTATAGTTTACTCGTTCCCTAGCCTGGGAATATTTAAATCAACCCTCCAAGCTGGTTTACAGTAGGTTTTACAGCTAAATTTTATAAATGCTTCATGTGATACCTGGCACACATTAAATATCCCACCACCAGTACACAGGTATATAATCTCTGAAGTCACCAAATCAGACTAGAAAAATAATATATTACCAACAAGCTAAGAAAGTAGATTTAAATAATAAACAAGAAGGCAAAAAAGTAAAGAAATGGGACATAAGTGAAATAAATGGAAAAAAGTAAGTACTAGATACAAAATGTCAATGGACTGACAGAAAGTTTTACTAGCTTGGGAGGAGGGAAAATCCCAACTGTAAGTTGCTCACAAAAACGTACTTTAAATATAGGAAAACTGAAACACTAAAAGAGTGGGAAAGATAAGCAATGCAAGCGCTAGCTGAAAGGAATCCAGTCCAACCACACTAAGGGGAAGGCACCCTTTACAACAAGAATCTTTCCTGATATTGAGAGCTATTATTCAATAACCGAAAAGCACAGATATAAGTTTCTATGCATCTTTTTAACATAGGTTAAAATAGGACAGAACTAAAAGGAACACTGACTGTTAGGTGAGGGTTTGGAGCTAGAATGTGTCCATAAAAGGTAAAATTCCTTCTCACAGGAACAAATAGACAACAGACAAGAACTCAGGGACAATCGATAATTATAGATTAAGAAGTAAGCAGGGGAGACTGGGGAGATGAGTCGGTGGGTCAAGTCCTTACAGCTCAGGCATGAGGAGGACCTGAGACTAGATCCCCAGCAGCCATAATGAAAGTCAGACATGGCCACACATTTCTATAACCCAGTACTGGAGGGGTGCAGACAAGCGAATTCCCGAGGCTTGTTGGCAGACCAGACCAACCACAACAGTGAGCTCCAGGTTCAGTGAGAGACTGTCTCAAATGAATAAGAGAGAGACTAACAGAAGATGTCAACCTCCAGCCTTCACACACACACACACACACACACACACACACACACGCACACACACACACACACGTATACAAAGATAAAACTTAAATTTAAAAGTCAGCAAGGTGCATATCTCTATAATACCACAATCTAAGGGATGTTAACCTAAGGGATGTTAAACAGAACAATATACTAAATAAAGATAAATGTATTTTTCAGAACAAAGAAAATTTACTAAAATTGGCCTGATGCTATGCCATAATGCAAATTATTGAAAAATTTCTAAGGATTTTCAAAATGACAGAACATGTTTCTACCAACAGTATATTTAAACCAGAATCCAATTGTCTTTAAGAATTTAACTAGGATCCAATTATCTTTACAAATTACTAAAAAAAAAATTCTCCAAATACTTACAAATAGCAGTGAATAATAGCTCTTATTAATAAAAATAAAGATCAGATATATTTTACATATCCAAGAGCTAGAACTCCCTCTGGTAGTTAGAAAAAGCAGTCATGTAAAGAAGCATCGCACACAGGAAAGACTTGGCATGTGCTTTCTAATGATACCAGGCCAGGCTGTAGACAACCAACTGCATGTCCTATGACCTGGAGGACTGATGTCGGGGGAAGGTCTTGTAGGAATAGAGAAGCTTTAGGGTTAGTTCTCACAGAGTGAGAAGAGCTTGATCAGGCAAAGCCTGAAGAAAGAGGCTGTCAATGCCATGAGCTGTAGGACACAGCCAGCTACAGATGAGGGCCAGGGCAAGATGCGATCAAAACTTAAGATGCTTCGACTGGTGAAAAAGTGGGCTACAAGGAGCTCAGCAAGGAAGGAAGGGCAAAGTGGGCAGCCGCTGAGACAGGACAGGTGCTGCGGGTGTTATTCGGAGGCCCACAAGGGGATCAATCATATCAGTCTAGACAAAGCTAAACCTGGGGGAAGCAGCTTAGCATTTGTGGGTGACATGGACCATAGCTGGTACACTTGGAAGCACGGAGCAGAGAGACTGAGAGAGCTCAACCTTGACAGTGATGTGATGGGGGAAGGGGAGAGAAGGGAACTGTAGGAAAAAAAAAAACGCAGCCTCCCTCCTAACAGAGCCACCCACACCCCTCACTGGCACAGCAGCCTAACAATGCATTAAAATCACTGCCTAATTGCTCCTTTCAAAGTTAATGCTCTGAAGTGGGGAAGTGTGTGTTTAATGTTTAGTCTCATCTCTGCCGCCCAAGCCCCAATTTGAAAGCCAAATCTTTTTAAAAATAGAATGAGATAAACCCCTAGACACAGCTCCGACCCTCAGAATCCCACGTTTTCCTTTTTCAAATCTGTCTTTCTCTGGCAGTTTGAACAGGTGACCTGGGAATCCTGTCTGGATGGAACCCTGGAAGTTTCAGCAGCTATGTTCCTCCCAGCTCCATTCTTGAACTCTCAGACAGAGCCCAGGAAGTCTTCTCGTCCACAGACCCTTTTCTCTCCACATAAACACCATCAATCAGAGCAGGATAGCCCACAGTAAATTGCCACACTCAGTGTAGAGGGAAATGGCTTCGTCTCCTATCCTTGGTGATCACTGCAAGCAATGAATGTGCCACAGTCTTGTGCCCCAGGTTTACAGCCTCCTCCAACAGCTCATCTGCGTCCAGTTGTAACTCTGCTACCAGATCGCTGGGAAAGGGGCAGGAACGGAATCCCTCCCACTGTTCTCTCCAGACACCCACACCCACGTGCGTCCTTCCAGCCTCCTCCTCTATGATTCTCCTATCTCTAGCTTCTGTTGGGATTTCCCAGCAAACCCACTTCCCTAACTTCCTTGTCACCAAGGACATTGATGCCACCACATAGTTGCACAGTTCCTACTCTAAAGTTAGAAGAGTCTTCTCTGTAATGTCTTCCGGTTCTAGTCCCCATGTCTCTACAGGCCCTGGCCACAGCTCAATCCTGGCTTTCTGTTAGCTAGAGCCTTTGAGTTACCTAGAACCACAAATCATGGAACTCCCTAAGTCTCCATTTCCTTGTTTATAAAACAAAGATGAAAATATAAACAGCAAGATGGTTATAAGCATTACATGAGATAAAATGTATAGGTCAGCCGACACTGAAAGCTTAGACAATAGCAGTTATGGTTATGATTGATTGTGGTCATGACAAACCCTGGTCTTGACTCTAGGCTGGAGCTTTTCTATTCATCACAAATATGCTGGGCATGTTTACCTGGGTACCTCAACATACACCTCAGCATCAGCAAGACAGAGTACCCAGAGCTAGAAAAACAGAGCTGAGGACAGTGTTCCAAGTACTGTGCACACTTGGCACAGCAGCCTGTCTTCTCAGCCATGCCTGTCAACCCTGCTAACTACCCTGAGAATACACATCACGGTCTGTGCCTGTGAGATGGGAAAGCAGGGCTGAGAGAGGAAGTGAGTTATACTGCCAAAATCCACATGACTGGTAAGTGATGCTTTGGATTGGATCCTGTAGGTAGCTCAAGAAGCCTCTTTTCCTGCTCTATACTAAAGTATGTGCTACTAGATATACGGAGGCTCTTAGAGAAGCATCCATGGAGCTGCATCAGCTGCTAAAAGTGACTAAGGCTTCAAGTCATTCATGCGACCAACTGGTGAGTGCCAATAGCATTGCTAAGGACTTGAACTGCTTTGCCTACTGGCAAAGTCTTCACACTGAGCTCCCCAGACTCACATACAAAAAACACACCAGAGACTTTCCCAGGGATCTTGTCCTTCCCTAAAATTGAGGTAAATGGTTTCTGATTCTCTCGGGCAATATTAATGGTCTCTGTCAATTGGCTTTTCATCAATGTCACAATATACCTGAGAGAAACAATTTTAAAGGAATGGAGATTTACTTTGACTCATTATTTCATAGCCTTCGGCCTACAATGGCTTGATCCCATTGCTGTGAGCCTGGGTTCAAGCAGAGCATTAAGGCAGAGATCACAGAGTGGAACCAAGTTAGCTACTCACCCACAGTAGCCAGGGAGCAGACAGTGAGCACGGGTCCAGGGGAAAGACACAACCTTCAAGTCACTTCTCTAAGACCTACCTTCTCCAACTAAGCCCCCTCCACTAAGAGCCCATTGCTGTGAAGTCATTGATGGACTAATGAGTCCTTTAACAAGGTTAGCCCCTCACGGGCCAGTCACTCAATAGCACCAGCAGCTGAGAACTAAGGTTTCCAAATATACGTCTTTTAGGCAGACAAGTAGCATTCAAACCATAAAGTAGTCCCTGAATGGGCTCAGGCTCCAGTACAGAGAAGGGGACCAGGAGATGGATGAAGGTAGGTTGAAAAAGAGAAAGGAGAAAGCTGGCTAACCTTAGTGCAAAAGTTCCAACACTCCATGTTTAAGTTTCCAGCCCTCTGTTGGGGTCTCTCCTTCCGTTAGGGAGGGTCTTAAGCAAAGGGCATTATCATGGTCTGCATGTAACTAAGCCTGGGGGTAAGACATAGTCTTGAGCACAGCACTTTTCAAACTTCTGTATGCCACCAAACACCCTGGGATTCTTGTTGAGAAGCAGGTAACTCAGATAGCCTGGTGTGGGCCTGAGAGTCTGCATTTCTAACAAGGTTGAGGCAACACCAGTGCTGTTGGCCTACACGCCACACTTTGAGCCGTGAGCTCCAAACACCCTTACCCTTCGACTTAGGACAATGGGAAGCCTGCTGTTTCAGCACCCTGCCTGCTGTGTTTCTCTTCATAGATGGCCAGAATGCCACGTGCACGGAGCCCACTGAGCTGTCGGGGTGGCCCATCACACGGGTGGGGAACCCTCTCCAGTACATGTGCATCACACACCTGGACCGCCAAGACTACATCTTCCTACTGCTCATCGGCTTCTGCATCTTCGCTGCCGGCACCGTGGCTGCCTGGCTCACAGGTGTGTGTGCTGTGCTATACCAGAACGCCCATCGAAAGTCGAATGGTGATGACACCGAAGATGAGTCGGGGAATCGGGTCACCGACCAGATTTTTCGAAGCAACTCTTACTTCGGCCAGAGCCGATTCCCTCAGCTGACCTAGCTGTCGGACAGTACTACCAATTGTGCCTTTCCTGGTCCGGTTCCCTGCTTTCTCTCTTGCCCTCCCATCTTACCACCACTGTCTTAGACATTGGAGACTTCCAGTAAAATAAAAATATATTTATTGGGTGGTCATTTCTGAGGCTGGTCCCTTCCTGCTCCACCAGCCCACACCTACTTCCTTGAGCTCAGCAGACAAACAAAGTCCAGAAAAGTTGTTGGATTCATCTAAATACCAAGGAAGTCCACCCTAAAAGCAAGTGGACTTGTATTTAATTACTATGTCTCAAAAGTATATGCCCGAGGGAGTTGAAAAATCTAAAGTAAAATCTTTCTCAAAGAGCAAACAATCTGCAGGGAAGTCAAAAGTACTGCATGGCCATGAGTTATCTTCACATAGCATCTCATAATTATCTCAATGATCAGATATTAGTATAGCCTACCAGTGGGAACCTGACCACTATCCACAAACACTTAACAATATAAGCACAGGTTTATCATCTAATATAGTTAGCTATAATTACATGTTACAATGCCTTGGCTAAACAGAGGTGTGAGAGACACCGGGTGTCAAGCAACAGAATCCTTATCAAATGCCTAGCACTTAACCAGCTCTGTACACAATTTCACCTACTAGGTTAATTCTCTTAACAGTGGGGTCAAGCGGTTAATGTGACCCTTGTATTTCTAAGGTACTCGGCCACACAGTAACAAACTCTAGTTTGCAGGAGTGTGGTAAGAAGCAGAGCGAGTGTTGAACTGTTGGCTGCCTGACATCAAAACTGATGCCCTGTGCCTCTGTGCTCCATGAGCTGCCGTCCTCCCTGAAGTGCTCGGCAGAGCAGAGCACACAGGTGTGGTCCCTCTGTCAGGGCTGCACACTCAGTGGAGTGCACACAGGTGTGGTCCCTCTGTCAGGGCTGCACACTCAGTGGAGTGCACACAGGTGTGGTCCCTCTGTCAGGGCTGCACACTCAGCAGTGGAGAGCACACAGGTGTGGTCCCTCTGTCAGGGCTGCACACTCAGTGGAGAGCACACAGGTGTGGTCCCTCTGTCAGGGCTGCACACTCAGCAGTGGAGAGCACACAGGTGTGGTCCCTCTGTCAGGGCTGCACACTCAGTGGAGTGCACACAGGTGTGGTCCCTCTGTCAGGGCTGCACACTCAGCAGTGGAGAGCACACAGGTGTGGTCCCTCTGTCAGGGCTGCACACTCAGTGGAGAGCACACAGGTGTGGTCCCTCTGTCAGGGCTGCACACTCAGTGGAGTGCACACAGGTGTGGTCCCTCTGTCAGGGCTGCACACTCATCAGTGGAGTGCACACAGGTGTGGTCCCTCTGTCAGGGCTGCACACTCATCAGTGGAGTGCACACAGGTGTGGTCCCTCTGTCAGGGCTGCACACTCAGTGGAGAGCACACAGGTGTGGCCCCTCTGTCAGGGCTGCACACTCAGCAGTGGAGTGCACACAGGTGTGGTCCCTCTGTCAGGGCTGCACACTCAGTGGAGTGCACACAGGTGTGGTCCCTCTGTCAGGGCTGCACACTCAGCAGTGGAGTGCACACGGCTGTGTTCCCGCTCTTAGTACTGTACTCTTGAAAGGAGAAGAAGAGAAGGGGCAGCTCAGTGCGGGCCTGAAGACACACTCCAGGTTTCTTTATGCTTGCTACCCAGATCAAACCAAATTCCTGGCGATGGTGCAGATGATAATCCCTGTCCATGAAGGCAGCTGTCCCTAAACTCCCACTAGACGGAGTCTTACCTGGAAATCTCTGATTACCACTTTCCTCCAGTTTGTCTAGGGCAATGATTCAGAGCATAAGCCTTGAATGAGAAGCTGAGATCCACTAGCTGTCCAGTTTTGTATTTAGTTGCTATGTAAATTCAGGCTTCCTGCTCATAAGAATGATCTCAAGTGCAGAGACCATCTTCTTTCATGATCCTCTCTTCTCTACGATGGTGCCCCCTACACAGCAGGGGCTCAGTGTCAGCCATTGCATTCCATCAAAGCCCAGCCCAGCAACGGGCTGTGTGGTCCTCAAGTGAGGGGTGACCATGGATGAGTTATCTCGCTTCTGTACGGTGCCTGTTTCTTCCTCTGTACATGACATGAATCACAGTTTATGTCATCCACGGAAATTGTGAAAATAAAATGAATGTCAATCATAAAAATCTATTTGTGTTGTGGAATAACTTCAGACTTACAGACAACTTGCAATGAAAGTCTCCATGTACCTTATCCATGGTACCAGCTTCTGCTAAAGTCACCTCATATTACAATGGTATATTTGTCAAAACTAACAAGCATATTGGAATATCACTCTTTTGTTTTGTTTTGCCTTGTTTTTTTTTTTTGAGATAAGGTTTCTGTGTGTGGTTCTGACTGTTCTGGAACTTGCTCTGTAGACCAGACATGTCTTGAACTCACAGAGATCCACCTGCCCCTGCCACCTGAGTACTGGGATTAAAGGTGTCTGCCACCACCACCTAGCAGAAATACCACTTTTAATTAAAATCTAGGCTTATCTGGAGTTTACCAGTCTCCTAATGCCCTTTTTCTGTTCCGTGAGTCAGTGCAGAACACCACACGGGCATTTGGAACATTTTTATAAAATCAGTAATTACATCTCACACATATTAGTTTTAGAAGCCATACATTATTTTAATTGTGTGTGTATAGACATGTACACAAATTATTAAATCATTAGAATTTTATGAGGTCAATATTACTCAATTAGAGTATGAAATTGAGACTTAAGAGATAAAATTGTTTGCTAAATGTTACACAGCTAACAAGGCCAGAAGTCCGACTGGCTCTGATTATACATAGTTTTCTTCAAGATATTTTTCAGTGTTTTTATTAATCCTTTGAGAATTTCATACCATATATTTTGGTCACATTCACCCCTAGCACCAAATTATTAATCAATACGACCTCAGAAATTTAGACTACCAAGAAAGTCTTGGCAGAAGAAATGGAACTGCTTTTGTGTATGGCTGCCCCAACCTTACTGTAAGGAAAAGCATTGGCCAGGAAGATGAAAGCTATGGCGACAAAAAAAACAAACAAAAACTGCCTCTACCTCACCAAGGTAAGGAATTTGAATTTCCTCCCGAAATACACTTGAGAATTTTATTCACAAAAATGATAGCTAACGAATTTTTGCTTTGGATAGCTCATTCTTGGACTGGAGCATTTGCTTGGCAGACTTCAGGTCCTGAGTTTGTCCCATCACTGCAAAAAGAAGAGGAGAAGGAGGGGGAGGGAGAGTCACTCCCACTCACCCTGGCTGTTGGGTACAGAAGAGATGAGCGAGGCCTGAGGGAGCCTGAGGGAGACAGTGTGAGACCAGCACTGTGCATCTTCCACAGCAAAATAAGGAAACCCAACCAAGGGCAATAGATGTGGGGATGAAGAGAACTGGAGGAAGTTTAGAAGTAAGATCAGAAGTACATGCTAAGCATGAAGATGAGGTAGAATTATTGAAGGGAAGATTAGAAAAACTAAGGTGCCTAAGGTTCAGACTTCAACCGCCAGGGAGCTGGTAGCACAAGTCACTGAGACAGAGTCTCCCAGCACCCTAGAGGCAAAAATAAAAACGAACACCTGGCTAATCTATACAATGTGAGGAAGAGAATGAGCAAGAGGATGTGTGGAAGACCCAGGAGCTAACTGCTCCCTCTCAGAGGAGTCAACACACAGTATCTAAAGCTGAAAAGTCACAGAGGAGCAATGTGTGTCTTCTGGAGGGATCAAGAGTCAGTGCCATGGGTCTGTCTCGTGGGGGCAGACGCACAGCACCGGACAGAAGACTGCTGTTTTCATGACTATTGGTGCACGGCTGCTGCTCTCTAAAGATGCGCACGGATACTCCATACCAATGGGTGCTTAAAATAAAAGAACAGATGACCTGCTCAGAAAGCTGTCTTCTTCCAAGAGGTATCTTTACCCACCTTCCCCAGGGGTAGCCATCATGACTCCAGAAGGTAGCATGCCGTGCTCACTATCCACTGCACTTCACTGGCACTTGGCCCCTGAAATGAAGTCCCAGAAAAATCAATGGGGTATTTTGTATAGGAGGCCATGTTTAGCACAGATCTTGAAAAGATCACAGAATTTTGTGCAGGAAGAATTATCTCAGTTGGATGGTAAGAGCGAAAGCTCGGAAGCACAACGAAGGTAGTTGTGTGGGGAACACCAGCAGTTCTGTTTGGTAGCTGCCAAGATAAGCAAACTCACAATATGGTGGGCAGAAGGCTGATCAAGCAGGTTTATGAAACTTTAAGTGTTTCTGCAAGTAAAGCCCTTACCTGTCTGTCATAGGGCTCTTCAGGTCTCAGTCCTTTAGGTCCTCGGAAGGGATAGTCATCAATGCATATTCTATGACGTTCTTCAGTTTTTGAGTCTTACGTGAGAGGATAATGAGACTCAGGCCTCACAGGCTTTAAGAGCTTTTTTGGTCCAAAGTAGGCTCCAACCAACTGGTCAGTCCAAATGGCCCTTCTGCCTAGAAAGAATAACAGATGGTAGGATCAGCAATGCCCAGCCATCCCTGCTTACTGCTCACTGCAATCCCTGCCTTGTGAAAATATCCCTGCTTCATAAGATAAGGTAAAAGAGCTCTGAGTTCAAGCCACAGCTTTTCTGTATATGAGCTTCAGGGTTTGGATTCAGTCTCCTTGAATGAGGTAATTGGGAGATCATATAGCTCCAAGAACACCTCTAAATGTAACCTATAGATTATTATCCATAGGTTGTCCAGAAAGTTCAAGAGACTGCTGGAAAGCAAAAGGAAAATAGAGAACTCTATAGAAACCTTGACTAGGAATAGAAAAAGATAATTTACAGCAAGCACACAAAGATGTATTTAATCTCATTAGAAATCAAAGAAATTCACATTAAAACAAGAGGTGTTGGTGTTGAGAAGATAGCTCAGTGAGTAAGAATACTTGCTACATAAGCAAGAGGACCTGAGTTTGGATCCCCAGCACCCACATAAAAAAGATACCTATAACCCCAGCACAGGGTGTAGGCAAGCAGGGACAACAGGACTGCAGGAGAGTGCAGGAAACCAACTGAGCAAAAAGTCACTAAACTCCAGGTTATCAGATTCTGCCTCTAGAAAAAATGGCAGAGAGTGACAGAGGAAAACACACAGCTAGTCTGCTAATCCTAAACTGCTCTCTCCACACACTTGAGCATGAATGTATACCTGCATGCATGCACACATACACACATACACAAATGCGCTTGTACACACA